CAGCAGGAGAGGCCACTGCACTCCAGTCTGGGTGACAGAGTGAGACTCCAACTCAAAAAAAAAAAAAGACTATGGAGAAGTGTAGTCTGAAAATAAGACACAGAAATGATGAGATGTGTGAAAACCTAACAAGAGAAAGCCCAGTTACAGTGGTATCAATCAGCACAGCCCGAGTACATGCCCAGGGCTGCTGACTCCTGGTCTTTAACGCCTGCACTCTCGACTCCCAATCCCTCCTCAGTGTAATGGAGAAGCCAGGCAGATCTGGATATGAATCTCATCCCTGGGTCCTTTGCTGAATATCTACCACTAGTAACTTATTAAACTTCCTGAGCCAGTTTCCTCATTCATAAAAGGGGAACAAAAATATCTTACTCAAAGGGGCAAAATAAAGATTAAGCAATACAACCCTTGCAAATAATTACTGAGTCATGGTAACGGTACAGTAGAGGTAGCAGCAGATAACATTTACTGAGTGTTTACTCTATTATCAGATATCGTACTGCTTTAAATGTTATCTGAACTGCTTAATCTAGAATCTTGTACACATTATATTCTCAATAAAAAAGTTAGTTCCATAAAAACTAAGCAGGGATAGGAAAACATGCTGTATGAAACAAAATGTGTATGTTTTATTTTCTCACTAAATTCTAAACTATTCATGAAATTCAGAGTTGGGCCTAAACGCATTTTAAAATTCAATTTTAAATAGTATAATGTCATATTACCTAATCCTATACTCTGGTTTCTCTTCAGGTTGTATTTATCTTTCATCTTTTACTAAATCCTGCTTTATTTTTTAAAAGAGAAGTCAGTTCTTACTAAAATCTCAAACTTTACAACTTCTCTGAATTCAAGAGAATCTAATAACATTTTACCTAACACTCTATTCTTTCATTCACTCTGCATTGATTGGTGCCTGCTGTGCCAAGGGACTGGGCTAGGCACTGAAGACAGCAGTTTCTCGCCACCCATGATGCAGGTTAGAGTGAGAGTCTGCTACTAAGAACGCCTTGCAGAAGGAACAAGCAAAGGCAGGCGAAGATGAAAACAGGCATGCCAGATGGGATATGGATCTGAAAGGGAAGGTTAGGATAGTATGCGAGGGACTGGAGCACCATGCTAAATCCAGCCATTATCCGACATGCATCTGGGAACACTGGTTTTAACCAGGGACAAATGGCTCAGATGCCTGCATTGCAGAGGGCAGATAACAGGAGGCCATAAGCAGAGTGTCCTGGGAGAGAAGGGGTGGCTGGGGAAAAGAAGTGGGCACACCAGACCGAGATAGTCCAGGTAAGGTAAGATGAGGGACCAGAGGGACCAGCCACAGATGAGACTCTGACTCTAAACGTACCACTGACATCTGAGTCCGATCATGGTAACTGAGTGGAAGCAGGGATGAGCGAGGAAGAACAGTTCTCAGGTCTCTGCCACAGAAACCGCATGAAGCATGATGGTGTTTCTATAAGATAACCACTCACACTTAAGAAACCAGCACAGAAAATAGATCCAGGGAAAGATACAGAGGAGGAAAACCAGGAGAAAACCAAGAGGATGGAGAGGATGAAGAAGGAATTGAGGCCACCAAAACAACGCCAAGAGAGTAAGAACAGCTGACAGCAGCACCCAGCTCAGGAAGAGTGTTTCCTGTGTGCTGGGCACGACCTTGTGATATGTTTCTAGGCTGTGTACACTTCAAAATGTTTACAACTCCAGGAAGCAGGTACTACTGCATCCCCATTTTGTCAAAAAGGAAACGAAGGTAGCAAGAGGCTAAGAAATATTCCCAAGGTCACATTGCTTCTAAGTAGCAAACAGAAGCCAGACTGCTGAGGATTAGGGAGCGAATGAGAAGAAAGAAAAGAGATCCAGGGAGCAAGGGGAAGTTGGGTCATATCTGATATAGGAGTCAGGACTTGAATCACCATAGAAGAAAATCAGGTATATTCAAAAAGCTCTTGAAAATGCCACAAACCACAAGTACACATGCATTATGTTGTGTATACCACCCTGCAGGTGACATTGTTGGTTGTTTTAATGCCCCGGTATTATTTTTCTGTGGCATTTAATTCATTCCCTTCTCAATTTTCTCAACAAGAATTGAGAGAAAGTTATTTCCACCCTTTTGCCTGTCCTTCTGAAGATGCTTTTTCACTCATCGGTCAGTGTCAGAAAGAGTCTGGAAATCATTTCCAAGATTTTCCCAGTTCTCAGACACAACAATGGCCAAAGCACAAATTCACCAAGCAGGTGCTGGTGGGCGCCAAGCTCTTCCATCATCACTATACCTCCAGTCAATAAAAGCTGTTCCATTAAAAGGATCGCCCCCAATGCCTGAAAAAGTCAGAGTATCAACATCGGCTGAAAATTTAAGGATGAGTCATGGAATACAGAGCAAGAAAAATTGTTTTCACTAGTTTCTCATTTTCCCTACCCTTTTTCCAGTTATTTAAAAATGCATCATCACTCTTACATTTAACATTCAAAAATCATAAAATTCTACATTTATTTCTGTTTGTACTATTTTACTATCTCCTCTCCCCACTCTCCTTCAGCCCAGGAATAGAGCCGAATTCCCTTAAGCTAAATAAAATTAGGATACAACTTTACATGACTCCTTCATATTTAATTCTACAGGAGAGGCCACAAGGAAAGCCTCCATGGGACACAGACAGCAAAGCTTTTCGACTTGATCTGAAGGAAAGTGCCATTCTACAAGGTAAATCTGAAGCTAGAGGGAGACGAGATCCTGGGAAAGGGCACAGGGACAGGCCTCTTTAGAAAGTCAGCCTTGACGGTGGCTCAGCCTGTAATCCCGCGCCTTTGGGAGGCTGAGGTGAGTGGACTGCCTGAGCCCGCGGGTTCGAGACCCACCTGGGCAAATTGGTGAGACCTCATCTCTACAATAAATCAAAAAATTAGCCGGGCGTGGTAGCACGCACTGTAGTTCCAGCTACTCGGAAGGCTGAGACGGAAGGATCGCCAGAGCCCAGCTGGTTGAGGCTGCGGTGGCCGGGAGCGGCCACTGCCCTCCAGCCTGGGCGACAGAGTGAGACTCCAACTCAAAAAAAAAAAAGAAAGTCAGCCTTGAAAAAAAAAAGGAACCCTCTTTCCCCCTAAGACATCAGGAGAAAAAGCACCAACCATGGGTGAAAACCTAAGTCTGCAGGTCAAGTGGGGCCTTTCGGGCTGATGGCGTGCATGTCCTCCCCCCATCAGGATATTACCTAACTCACCTACCACAAAGCATGGCGCAATGTCTGTGGAAGAGCATTCAGAGTAGAGAAGGAGACAATGAACCCAGAAAAACTCCAGAATTTTCTTAGTGTCGGGACAGAAGGTCTAGCTCAAAAAAGGCTTAATGTTATCTTTCATGTTTTCTTGAAAAATTAATCTTTCAGTAAAAACAACTTCTAAAAAATGCCTCTGATATAAAGAGTGAAAAACTCTGTTTTTCCATATCCAGACTTACTGAGTTATGTTGCTTCAAAAATTCTGCAGCGTTTTCTTCTGCATTACCACCAATTTCACCAATCAATATGATACCTTCTGTAGCTGAATCCTTCAGAAAGATTTCAAGGCAGTCAATAAAATCTGTTCCATTAAAAGGATCACCTCCAATGCCTGAAAGAGTCAGAGTATCAACATTAGCTGAAAATTTAAGGAGGAACCATGGAACTCAGAGCAAGAAAATTTATTTTGACCAGTTTCTCGTTTTCCCTACTCTTTTCCCTTTTATTTTAAAATGTATCATCACTCTTGCGTTTAACATTCAACCATCACAAAATTCTATATTTATTTCTGTTTGTACTATTATAAGGATGCTAAATGGTGGTTGGTTCCTGATACAAAGACAATCAATCCTTTTTTTGTTCTAGCTCCTGTATCAAGCCTCTTTCCTCCCATAAAATTATTCCCAGATAACTCTTTAGAAATGAGCATTTTAAGAAAACATGTGTTTGTGTTGCATGCTAATGCTATACCAAAGAAAAACATTTAACAAATTTCTCTGTGCAGAGAAACTATTTGACAAAGCTGTAAAGAAACTACTCGTAAGTTTTAAAATACAAGTGACAGTGGGTGATAGCATAGAGGGTAACCTGACCCCTCTTCCTTTGAATACAGAGTGGGAGATGACAGAGCCTGCATATCAGGGTTCTCCTGTAAGCACATGACATTTAAGAACAAGTAAGTACTTGGACAGGAGTAAAGCAAATGTTCCCTACAGAATGGCTGCCACATTTTTTATTTTTAAGATATAAACTTACGGAGCACAGGATTGACTTCTTACTGCTCTACGTATCTCAGAAAAATGAAATCGAGCAAGAGAACTAGCACTTATTAAGTGCCAGTGTCAAGTCCACTTGAGCACACATCAGACATGTCATTTCCTAATTCTCCCAATCTCTCTATGAGATGGGCATTATTACCCTCATTTACAAATTAAAAACTGAAGCTGAAGAAGATGCAATTGGCAAATCTATTTCAATAACTGCCCTTATTCTTCATCATATTACCTTGTGCCCAAGCTTGTGCTTTGCACATAGAAAGACTCAATTCATGTTTTCAATATTAAATTAATGAGTTTGGGACTTAATAAAAATACCCATGGTTATATTTTATAATTTCTTTTATTTAAAAGGTATTTCTGAAAGACTTCTAAAAGGTATTCTAAGCATTTGAAGAAACATTTATAAAAATAAGAAATTTAAGTGAGACCCAAACTTTCCCTGTACAATGGATATTTATATACCAAACCCTGAATTGTACCCCACATCTTTAAAAAATAAATAATTAAATAAATAAGAAATTTGGCAACAAAATGGATTCTAAATTGTAAAAACTTCTTAAATTATTTTTAAAGTGAGAGGGAGCATGGTGTGGCAAAAGAGAGGTTCTGGGGAAGTCAGCCTTCTTCACCCTTAATTTTCCCACCCATAAGACAGTACAACTTTCCAGCTCAGAGGCAACTCAGAAGCTTGCCTGGAGAATGTGAGAGCAAATGGAGAAGAATTCAGTAATTACAACGCATTGAACATAATTAAAGTGATAAAAAAAAAAGCTCTAATATGAGGAAACATTTCTTCAGAGCAATAAAATAAGTGATGTTTTCAGGTACCAAGGTCTCCCAGGTGCCACACATCCTAAGTTGTTTGTTGCTCAACCTGGAAACTGAATCTTGGCCCATGAATCTTGAAACAATACAGAAGAATTTCACACTTAAGCAAATTTGAGACCATAACATCTTTTTAATAAAACAGTATCCAAATATCTTATAAAGAATAAAATTAATAGTTATTAGCACATGCATTCAATGAAGATACTACTTTCCAATAAAATGATTTTAGCAAAAATCTCTTACCAACGCACAAAGACTGCCCCAATCCAACTTGTGTTGTTTGGTGAACTGCTTCATAAGTCAGGGTGCCAGATCTGGACACAATGCCTTAGAGGAAGGGAATTCAGAAAGATTAGCTTGTGTTGATATGATAAGACTCTCATACAGTAAACTAAATTCCAAATACTTTGAGTGACTAACACTGTCTATGACACGGGTATATATAAAATTCATTCCATGATTTCCCATCCAAATTAACAATATCTTAAATGATGAAATAAGAGGAAAAGACTGACAATAAAGCAGGGAAGTTTTTAAAGTTAGACACAGGAGAAAGTACATTATTAGTTAAGGTTATCTTATGACTATAAAACAATGCAAGGAAAACCTAAAATACCTCTTCTGAGAATCTTTCTGAAGAGGATTATAACAATATGACCTTGGATGGTACAATCCTGCTTAGGGTCACAGAATATAACAGATTAGACTTAAGAGTACCCAAACCACAAAGCCATTAAAACTAGTATTAGTTACATTTGATAGTGCTACCTTCCCCATAACTACTTTTCTAATCATTTTCAACTAATATACAGGCTTTAAATCAGTATTTTAAAAACTGGGGAGCAAGGGGTTAAGACCCCTCTGAATTCAAGTCTCCCACCTAATTTCCTTTATATAATGGGCCTTGTGACAGTATCTATGTCCCACTTATACCTGGATTAGGCCTGTGTTGGGGGAGGGAGTCAGTATAGATGGGGAGGAGTGACAACTAGAGTTTCCTCCCTTGTAGTTCATTATGTTTGGCTGAGCATCCAAACAGGTAATTTATTCCACGCTACAACCCAGTACAATTCAGTACTACAATCCAGTACATGCAGTACTTTAGAACAAGAAATATAAAATGAGTGGATCCCTAGTTTTAACAGGCTGAGAAGTATAAATAAATAAATTCAGTCGTTAGAACCTATTATACACAAACTTAAAACAAAATCTTTATCAGACTAAAATCAGAATGTTGATTCTAAAGTGGAGAATAATTCCAATGTCCATGGCTTGTTATCTTTAAACTTCTCCTTGAAGCACTTTTTAAGCACTCAGAAGACTCTTTTCTAATAATATGATCACCCCACCAGGCAACCACAATTCTCATCAGACAATAACCATAACCAGAAGCCACCCCAACTTCCATACAGTGTGTTTACATTCTTAAGCAAAGTGCTGTCTCCACTATCATCATATAACCATGGGTACTAAGTGTGTAATCTGTGCATAATGCACATTTTCTCACGATGAATTTGTGCACACATAACTTTAGATTCTACGCACAAACCAGTCAATTGAAAGACAAGTGTGTATATATTTTGGTCACTGCTAGATGGACCCAAATTACTCAGATTGCTCTTTTAGATGAATTCCACCTAACAGTGACAGCTATGTCCCTGACAATGCCTCATCTCATACGAAACTCTGCTCTAACTCCCCAGCCCAGAATAGTCCCAGCCCACCTTGCCAGACTCATTTCATGATTTCGCTACATAGTGAAATGGGTTCTTCCTCAATTATACTTCATTCTCTCCTACTTTTTCAAATTTGTTCTAATTATCTGACAAAATTCTAACCATCCTTTAAGGTCCACAAGAAAAGCTTAATTGACACTTTTTTTTTTTTTTGAGATAGAGTCTCACTCTTGTCACTCAGGCTGGAGTAAAGTGGCACCCTCATGGCCACCCAAGCATCGACCTGCTGGACTCCAGCAATCCTTCCACCTCAGCCTTTCAAGTAGCTGGAACTACAGGCATGCTACCACACCTGGCTAATTTATTTATTTATTTATTGTAGAGACAAGGTCTCACCAAGTTGCCCGGGCTGGTCTCGAACCCGTAGGCTCAGGCAATCCACTTGCCTCGGCCTCCCAAAGTGCACCGAGCCCGGCTGCTACTTTTTCTTTTAAGTCTTTCCTGATTACTCCCAAAGAGAAGAAAATAAAATCTCTTTCTCTAAACCTTCTCAGTGTTTTTATTTCCCACTGCTTTTAGTACTAGGGAATAAGAAGAAGTTATGTCTTCTTACCTACCATCATGAAACCGTAAGTATTTTTGTGGTCGAAGCAAACTTTCATTGAATGGTTCACTATTGGTCCTAATGCTACTATAAAGCACAGTAAGACGGCACATAGCCTGTCAACTCCTCTTCTTACCAAAGTCAGGGCTGGTACTGGCTCCAAATACTGAGGATAGAGGCAGGATCATAAAGAAAACACTGAATAACCTACAGTGACCAACAGTAATTTTTTTTCCTAGTGTTACAGCAAATACTACTAAGTTTCAGACTATGTTTAGCTAATGCTAATTTTCAGCATTGAGAACTATATTAAAATTACAATACTTTTTGAAAAACAAAAACAATTTTACCAAAGGTAGAAATCCTTAAAATCTGATCTAAAATACTAATTCTGATCTACCCAGCTTTAACGGACAGGTATCAGTATTTGCACTGGAGAAAATCTGCTTTCAGATGGAACATACATTCTCTATTCAGAAGGCAGGACAGTATCTCTAATCAACAGCATGGAATACTACTCAGCAATTAAAAAAAAAAAAAAAACTATGGACACACACAACAATCTGGATGAATCTCCAGAGACTTATTCTGACTGTAGACAGGCATCCCCAGAAGGCTATATGGAATTCTGTATGATTACATTTGTATAGCAAAATTATAGAACTGGAGAACAGATTATTGGTTGTCAGGAATTAAGAAGGTGGAAGTAAGAGGTAAATGTGTGTAACTATAATAAGGAAACATGAAAGATCCTTGTAGTCATGGAAAAGTTTCTCCATATTGACTGTATCAATGTCAATATCCTACTTATGATATTAAACTATAGTTTTACAAGCTGTTAATCACTGGATAAAGGATCAACCGGGATCTGGGATTATTTCTTACAACTACACATGAATTAACAATTATTTCAATGGAAGCAGTTTAATTAAAGTAAATTTTTTAAAAAAAGAAAGCATCAGGTATGTCATATGCAGCTGAAATTAGCAAACTATCATAAGTGAAATAAAAAAAGTGGCACATTTAAATATCATCAATTTGAAATCCAGGCACTTCCTTCAATAACACTAAATCGGCAGGTATGCAGTTTTCTTCGCTATCATTAACACAAACTAGAAAGCCACTATGCTATTATACTGCTATCATATTACATTCAAGGAAATAAAAAATCCTTCCTTTCTCTAAATTCTTAAGGACTGGAAGTCAACAAGGCTACTAGAGACTATTAGCAATGGTATCAAAATGGGAATAGACACTACAAATAATCATCTTCTCTCTTCATCCCTTCAAATATCTTGCAGTGTCATATATTTTATTTTAGGCAATTTTTTATTTTTTATTTTATTTTATTTTTTTTTTTTTTGAGTTGGAGTCTCACTCTGTCACCCAGACTGGAGTGCAGTGGCCGCTCCCGGCCACCGCAACCTCGACCTGCTGGGCTCCGGCGATCCTTCTGCCTCAGCCTTCCGAGTAGCCGGAATTACAGGCATGCGCTACCACGCCCGGCTGATTTTTTGATTTATTGTAGAGATGAGGTCTCGCCTGCCCAGGCGGGTCTCGAACCCGCGGGCTCAGGCAATCCACTCACCTCAGCCTCCCAAAGGCGCGGGATTACAGGCTGAGCCACCGAGCCTGGCTAGGCAATTTTTTAAAAGTCCTTCTCCAAGGAATTAACAGCAGTCTCCCAGAAAACTGTCTTATCAATGTGTTATGGTCATTCACAAAGCCAAGGTCTAAAAGACTTCCCTGAACCTCCCTTAATTTTTCATTTTTTGGGTTTATAAGCACCTTAGAAAGCAGGGCAGTGATCAGAGAGGCAACTCAGCACAGGGCACTCCTTCTTCCCTGCTCAACTCAAGACTATAGCAGTAACTATTCAAAGCAAATCAAAAAGTATAAGGAATATTTAAATATGTACAAGACCATCAGTGGATCAGGCCCCACTGGAATCCAGATGGCCTATGGAGCTCCCCATAACCTCCCTTATAAGTGAGTTTATCAAGTACTCTACTGGCAGTAGGGCTGACAAATCTAAGAGACATCAGTAATAAAAAAAAAAAATCATGACGTTTAACTCAATTCTGTAAACTATACAACGCACTATTTTTATTTAGTATTATTAGTAGTCATGGTTTACAGATAGAGAAAAATACTATGACTATCTATTATTGTAAAAAACAGGACAGTGCAGTGCAAGTTAGGTATAAAGAGTCTAAACACAGGCGTAATGTGGCTTAATTCTGAACTGTCAATTTAGCTATTTCCTTGAGGAACTAACCAATTAGCAGTATATTTTTCCCCCCAAAAAATTGAGAAAATTTATGATATCCAAGAAATCAAAGTAATTATTGGATAGGACAAAGAAAAGTTAACAATAAAAATATTCACAGCACATATATTTGACAAAGGACTTATATACAGAATACTTACAGAATGCCTATAATCAACAATAAAAAGACAACCCAATAAAAAGTAATGGGCAAAACACCTGAATAGATACTTTACAGAAGAAGATAAATGAATGGCCTTTATGCACATGAACAGGTACTCTGCATCACTAGTCATTAGAGACACTCAAATTAAAACCATAATGAAATACCATTTTACCCTGATAGAACGGCTATATTAAAAGACTCACAAATCTAAAGGTTTGTGAAGATTTGGAGCAATTGAGACTCTCCTACATTGATGGTGAGAATATGAAGTGAAAAAGACACTTCACAGAACTACTTAGCAATTTCTTAAAAAGATGAACATACTCTACCTGATGACTTAGCAATTAAATTCCTAGGTATTTTGCCCAAGAGAAATGAAAATGTGTTCACGAGAAGACCTGTACACAAATGTTCACCTAAGCCTTGTTCTTAAGGCCCAAACCTGAACACAACCCAAATGTTCATTAATGGGAGAATGAATAAGCAAACTCTGATATAATCATACAACAGAATATTACTTAGCAATAACATGAAATTAACTATTAATACATGCAAACACATGGAAGAACCCACAGAGAGCTAAGCAAGAAGAGATCTTTAAAAAAATCCAGAATCTTTATTGAAGTTGCATCTCAAATAAACTCACTATATTCAGGATATAGAATGGACTCACTCCAAAGCTTCCCCAGTAAATTCTACTAAATTTAAATTAATTAAGATGAACTTGATTTGCACAGTCACAAAGTCTCTTTTTGAGTGCTGAAAGTTTAGGACAAATAATTTGTTTTTTCTTTTAATCTATAAGACAGTTGCAAACATACTCACCAATTCTTCCTTTTTTATGAATATGACCAGGCATGATGCCAATTTTGCATTCTCCTGGCTGAAAAAAAATAAATCACAGTTTCAGAAAAGTTTTTTTAAAAAAGGTTACTCATAGGCCATTCACACAAATACACCTGAACTGACACAAAGCTGTTCAGCCTTGTGAGAGGCTATCTGAGCCTCTTTTGACTGTTTGCACTCACATTGATGACTCCAGGGCAGTTTGGCCCAATGAGCCTTGTCTTTCCCTGGCGCAGCAGTCTGTGCTTGACCCGGACCATGTCCTGCTGTGGGATGCCTTCGGTAATGCACACAACCAAGGGCATTTCTGCCTCAACGGCTTCGTCAATAGCGGCAGCAGCAAATGGCGGAGGAACATAAATGACAGAAGCTGTTGCTCCTGTCTGTTCTTTGGCCTGAAACAATGACCATGAAGCACTGTATTATTGTTTAAGTCATCAACACTGTAAAACAAACTCAGTGCCATACCATGATTCTAATAATGTCTCGGGGTGAGGAAAAAACACCACCCGGAGACACAGGATGTCTCCATTCTTCCCATACTCAAGTTCAATGCCAGAAAGTTCAATGCCAGAAAAGAGCAGAATCAAGCAAAGGCCTCTTCTTTGTCTCCTTTGAATGCCACTGTAAATTGAAAAGATCCTGTGACATTTCACACCCTCGAAGTTATGGCATGTCACTAAACCTGAAAGTTCTGCTTCATTTCCATATGTCCCCCCATTCCTGGGGCATGCTCAGTTCTGTTGTTCTTTGCCAGACTCACCCTGACCAAAACATTGTACCATGTATTCAACACCAGAGACCCTGCACCTCCCCAGGAGAACAAGGACTAATGAGCCCTCCAGTGTTCAGAACTTGGCTCTCAAACATCTGTTTTAAAATATATCATACTTGGTAAATATGATCAAGAGGCAGCAAAAATGAAGTCTTCCACCTGACCATTTTTACTGCACGTTTATTTAGAAATAAATCATCTAAAATGCACATGCATAAGTGGCCACAGGATAAGAAAGTGGCCAAAATAAGCACCAAGTACTGCTATCACCCTTCACAACGCAAAGCACTTAGAGACCACTGATTTGATCACAGTTCTTTTCTCTGTGGACGTGAGCCCACAATTGGTCTTCATATGTCCTCCATATATGTTGATATGAATGTATCCTTCTACCCATCTCTGTGTGGGGACATGTCTCTTCTACTGTCATGGAGGCTCCTTGAAGACAGAGACTATCATGATTTCTGACTCTCCAAGAGCAGCCTCCTCTATTCTGCAATAGGTGCTATAAGAGGGCTCTATACAGATTTCATCAGTCTTGAATGCCTAATATCCCCATTTTACACATCAAAATGTCACGGCCAAGAGATAAGAAACACCTGCACAAGGTCACATAGCTAGGAAGTGGCAGAGTCAAGATTTAAACCTAAGTATATCGGATCTCAAAGCATCTATTCCTTTCAGTGACAGCAGGCTGCCTCCCTATAAACGTTAAGGAGGTCACTCAACAAGAAGTAGATCAAAGCCTTCTTGCAGGCTATGCCATGGGATTTTTACAATAAATATGACTACTAAGCCACAGGACACACAGGTACAACTAGAAGACAGGGCAGAAGTACAAGCCAGTGTCTTAGAGAATCACCGTAAATGATTCCTCACATCACCTCATTGAGGACCTGTCTCTACTGCATCGCTAAAAAAAAGAAGTACCTTGACAGTGAATAAAAGGATGCTGACATATCATACACAAATGATGTTGGGAGTTAAGAATTTTTTTTTAACTCTGTTCTAGATGGTAACAGAGGAGAGAACAAAATAAATAAAAACGAGTTTAGAACCAAAAGAAGTCAGATCATAGGCATGTAGTTACTTGACTGAAAAGATTTCCCACGGTTCTCTACTCTTAAGGCTATAAATACTGCCATCAGCTGGACTGTGTCAGCCACAGTACTGTGCTGGGAAGTCATACTGGATGAAAGGCACTTGCCCAACTCATTCAGAAAACTCTTTGTAGGAGCTGAACAGGTGAGAAATAAACAGTATCTGCCAAAGAACTTATGGAATATTCCAAATGTCATATCTATTTGGGTCACTATGAATAATAAATGGATTGCTTAACAACAAAAATTTCCCTTAAAAGAAAGCCAAAACAGTAGCAGGAAACTACCAGGGGGGGAGGGGTGGGATTAGCAGTTAAGACTGCCAGGGGAGAGAGGTGCACAACTCATCAACAAGGGGACCTGCATAATGAACTTTTGTATACCTAACCTGAATTGCACCCCACATCTTTAAAATTGAAAAAAAAATTTTTTAAGCCAAAAAAAGTTTCATGACAAGAAAAGTGTATTTAGAGGAATTCTGAAAACCTCCTCTCTACATTTAAGGACATAAAATTAGCTATAATAGAATTTAAAGGGACAGGGACTTTAAAGGTGTGCTTCAAAAAATGCAATATCTTTAAAAAGTCTTAAAATTATGCATTAAAAGGAGGGAAGGGGTACGTTTAGGACTGAACAATTTATCAACCCTAAGTACTTATTTCCTAGATTTTTTAAATTAAATACCCAAGAATTTGTACTGCAGTTTCTTTTAAAATTCTATTACTTTTGTATATATTCATACAAGAGTAGAAAGTGAATGAAAGAATACACATAGAGCTTAAGTTAGCTCTCTCTACACGCAAAATCTAAGCCATAGGACAGACACAATTAGATATACAAAGTCCTGGAAGATGTGGAAAACACTATGAAATTTAACTATATTTACCTCTATATCATCTGAATTTTTACAATAAGCACATATCAGTTTTGTAACAAAGAATTAAAGTTTAATTTAAAAATCCTTTTAGGCCAGGTGCAGTGGTTCACACCTATAATCCTAGCACTTTGGGAGGCAGAGGCAAGAGGACTGCCTGAGCCCAGGGGTTTGAGACCAGCCTGGGCAACTCAGCAAGACCTCATCTCTACAATAAATCAAAAAAT